TTTTTTTTTAACACTACTGGAGACAACAGTGTTTGAGGGAATTTTTTCAGCGTTTGTCATAGGTATAGGAGAATCAAATCTGGCAGCAATATTTTTAACCTACAAAGAGGTATTCTTTATTAATTTTGCTCATTTCTGTAAGGTTTTGACCATTAATTGAAATTTACATCATTGAAATAATGTTTGTTTTATATAACCTCACTGAGAATACTGCTTGCAGAATATTTGCATTTTCTTTAATTTTTTATTATTTTATTTTAGATTGCACGGGAGCATGGTATTAGGTTTTTTGAAACTAGTGCAAAAGCAAATATAAACATTGAAAAGGCGTTCCTCACATTAGCTGAAGATATCCTTCGAAAGGTAAGTTTCTATTTTTACTCCTCTACTCTTAACATTTCTTGGTATCAAAATTGACTATTTCACCTTTACTAAAGTACTAGGTTTCATTCAAATACTGAGTTTATAATGTTGTATGTCAGTTACTAGTTTTAAAAAAGTGATTTTGAGTGAGAAGGTACCTAAAAATTTCCTCTTTACTAGTGGTTTTCCAAATTAAAATAAGGAAGTGGGTAGGAGGAGGGAGGCATTACAGAGAGACATCTAGAAATCTGTAGGATCCAGTCATTGTAGCAATTTTCTGAGCTCCCACACTTTCTAATCCCCAATTTCATGGTTTTCAGCTTTTTGTCTGTTTCGTGGTGGTGTGAGTTTTTGGGTCTTTTTTGTATTCATTTCCTTTTTCATTCCCACAGATGATTTTTTAAAATTCAGTTTAAATGTAAGTGGTGAATTTATTAGGTATGCAACCAAGTATTCATTCTTCTATTCATTCTTCTATTTGGATTTCTCAGACATACTAATAAAGGCTTGGATTATTGTATAGTGAATAGATAAAATTAGTCCATCCCCAGATTTCATATTACCATTCATTTTAACCTCAGATAAGTTTCTGAGTTTAATTTGTGAATCCTGAAAGTTGCAGGGCAAGTAACATATAGTAAAATTTGGAAACTTTTTTTTCACATTTCCTGTACAGTACACATACTTGGTTATGAGTCCTAAATGACTGGACATACAGATTTGTTTATGACCCATATTCAGTTTATTATATATTTTAATGCAAATAAAGAAAATTTGACACAAGTCCTAAAGGAGATGCAATTATATAAAAGCTTATTGTTTCTGGGGCCCTCCCTGGTGGTGCAGTAGGTTAAAGCACTATATTATGAAGTTACTGCAGCGCAATTTCGATCCCCGGCCAGGGATCTGACCCACTTGGTATGGCAGACCTCTATTGACCCACCCGCTGCTCCCCTCAGCAGTGTATTTCTATAGATCTGCCTATTTTGCTCCCTATTCTGTCTCTGGTGAATCCTCTCACCCACCACACTTCTGGCCTGTACCCCAGTTCTGTAAGCATAAATAAATAAATCTTACAAAAAAAAAAAAGTTAATTGTTTCTGGTAACTGTTTTTGAAATACTAGTTTCTAAAAACAACCCAAATATCTTTTTAAAGTATATATCTATAAAACATAAGTTGTAATAAAGGTAGCATATTAATTGTAAATCTAGTGAAATTTCTGTGCATTTACAAGATATTAACATTTAAGTAATTAAATTCCTTGTATGAAATCATTAAATCAAACAACATAAATTTTGAGAGTGAAATGTGTCTGTCAACTGTAGTTGAATGTTGAAAATGGAAGAAAGTCCTACGTGACTGCTCGTAGTAGCCATTGCCAGAGTGAAGTTGGCCCTTCCTCCTTCCTGGGTTGCAGACACCCTGCATATCATGTTTGGGGAGTTGCCGCCTGCCTTAGAAGATCATGTAATGCTAGAATCCAGCCAAATCAAAAATTGCATTTAATTTCAGAGAATGAGAAAGACTTTGAACAGTTAGATAGAAAGGTTATCCACCATATACTGAGAGATAAAAAGTAAAGTAGAAAGGTAAAATATGAATAGTACGAGATTTTTAACATTATATGTGACACTTGCCACACACGCGAGCAAACACACACACACATACACACAAATGGTTGTGTTTGCAGAGATCAGGAAGGATATATGCTAACCCTTAGGTAGTGAGTACTCCAGGCAGAGCCTGGCGAGAAGTGGTGACAGAAAGGGGAAGAGGGATGTAGGCCAGAATTAGTCAGACTCTCACCTTTATGTCATTTTGTTTTTGAAATGTTAACATTTTTCTTTATGGTTATTAAAGCAATCAGATAATATTAATATTCTTTCACAAGTGAGTAAGGTAAAGACCCATTAGAATTCCTTGAAGAAATAAGTTTTTACTTGGAAATGTTCCTTTGAGAAACATAAATAAAAATATAATAGAAAAATACTAGGTGAACTGTGAACTGTGAAGAAGGAAACTTGTATTGTTAATTAGATGAAGGGAGTAACAGGAATAGAAAAACACTTAAAAAATAGTGCAAAGAATTTGGGGAACCAGAGTGAAAAAAATGACTGAATACTCATTTACCTTAAAGCTTACTAAAACATAAAACACCTTTGTCTGTGTGTTTTGTTTTTGTGAACTTTTTGGTCTTCATTGTGATTTTTTTTTCTCTATAATGTGTTCCTGTATTACCTCGCCTGTCTTGATATTTTTTATGAATGTGTCCTAGTGGAGTAGCTCTCCTGATTATCTTAATGATTAAGAAACATGAATGCACTGATAATGGGCTCTGTCTAGAGGCAGGTAGCTGCTTTTTTTTTTTTAATGACGCATCTGGGTTTAGGAAAAATTTCCTGTATCCCATTTGGGTTTTTCTCAGGGTGAACAGATGAGCAAATTAGTATCAGACATACTGGTAGGAGAAAAGGTCAAAATTTAACAACATGTATATGGAGAATTTATGTGGTTGTAAGCTCCAAAAGAATAATGGAACATACCAGAGACATTTACCCTGTATTTAGGGAGAAGGGTGTTGAGAAGATAGGTGGGGAAGACTTAACATAACAGAGGAAGGGGGCTACCTTATCCTTACTCTGAGAGAGGAGATGAAAATTCTCTGATAAAAACATGTTTTCTGAGAAAGGCACAACTGGATGAGGACCCTCCTGTCACCAGTTGCATTCTTTGTTATAAAGGGGGGAGCTGTGGTTGCTTCTGTGTGAGGAAAAGACCTGAATCTTCTCCTAGTCTTCTGGGCCCTCACTGCTGTCAACCCAAAACGATTTGCATTCTTTAAGCCAAGGTGACAGACCTGGGGATCTCTTTTGACCTTGACCTCTAGTTCCTAAATCAGGGTGACAGGAGGCCTGCTGTGCACTTTGAGAAATGCCTACCTTACTCTTTTGGAGAGACTAACCCCACACATTCTACGTACTTTTGGATGCCGTAAATTATCAGTTAAAACAATTGTAAACTTGTTTTATATCAAAAGATTTAATAGTAATTCCTGACTAGCAACTTCTGTGAAGTGCTTTCTCTCGTAAGTTGATAAGAGAAAAATTAACTGTAGAATGAAAACAATGTATAACATTTTTTTTTTAAAGATTTATTTATTTATTTGTGCATACAGAACTGGGGTACAGGCCAGAGGCTCAGGGGCGGTGAGAGGCTTCACCAAAGACAGAGTGGGGAGCAGAACAGGCAGATCTACTAAGTACACTGCTGAGGGAAGCAGCGGGCGGGTCAGGAGAGGTCTGGCTCGCCATGTGGTCTCCTCCGGGGCAGGCGGCAGGCGGGAATCGAACTCATGCGGAAGTGGCTTCAGATTCTCAGTGCTGTGCTTTAACCCGCTGCGCCACCAGGGAGGGCCAAAACAATGTATAACATTTTAATTTAATTATGTGAATAGTAATTCATTCCCATGGATTTACTATATTTCTCCAATTCCTTATCCAGCCCCCAACAGGTAACCAGTGTAATTAGTTTCTTAGTTACTAATATATAAGAAGAATATACTTAATCCTATCCCTCTTGCCCTTCCCACCCCCCTTTTATTTTTTTAAAAGATTTATTTATGCAAAGAAGAACCAGGGTGTAGGCCTGGGGTGGGGATGCTGGAGAGGATTCACCAGAAATAGTGAGAAGCAAAACTGGCAAGTTGACAGAAATACACTGTTGAGGGGAGCATTGGACAAGACTGGAGACATCTGCTTCACCATGTGGGTCACTCCCTGGCTGGGGGTCGAACTCTTGCTTCATTGGCTGCTGATAGCTTTATAGTGTATCCATTTTCATTTTGTATAAGTGAAATAAAAAGTCAATTTTTAAAAATAATTGAGTGCTACACCTTTGAATGGATATATCATAGTTAATTAGATCTCTAAAGGAGAAAGAAACTTAGGTAATTTTTACCCATACAATCTTACAGATAATGTGTAGTGAATAATAGTAACATTTAAATCATTTTGCATATGTGCAGGTGTATTTGAAGGACAGGGTCTCAGAAGTGGCCAGTAGAACATATGGATATATTTTAACTGTCCCTGCTTTCACATTGAGTCATGAGAGTCATTCCCATTACTTTCTTCTGTGGATATGAGAAAGTCTTCACTCATACGCTTTCCCAACCTAACAGGTTAAGAAAAATGCAGATTTAACTTGCAGCTCTTTTGAGTAAAATGCACCTTTTAAAAGATATGTTTAAGAATCATACTTTGGTATTTCCTTTTCTATAAATGTTTTTATTTCCTTTCCCCACTTTTTCTAATTGGTTATTGGCCCTTTTCTTATTCATGACTAGGAACCAATTAACATTATACTTAATAAATTTAGCGACTGCTTTCAATAAAATGACTATACGATATAATTCTCTTTTTCAAAGAATCTTTTTCAGGTATCTAAGTTGTAAAAGGATGGACTGTAAGTAAGGTCCTGAGGAATAAATTGGTTATAAGCACCCATATATCTTTAACCAACCCCATGCCTGGAAGTTCCTAAAAAGAGGGAACTTTCTGTCACATTCTTTTCTTGCGGTGGGCTAGTTGCTGAGCTGCACTTCCTCACTTTTTCTCAAAGATTTGTATTAGGAGCAAAGTCACTTATTCAGGAAAGCTAGCAGTTCTTTGCAATCATAACACCTCTCTGGTGGCACAAGGGGTTAAAGTGCAGCACAGTGAAGCTGTCCACAGCCACTGCAGCTGACCCATGTGGTGCTCAGACCTCTCCTATCTCCCCCGCTGCTCCATTTAGTGGTATATAGCAGTAGATCTGCCTGTTCTGCTCCCCACTCTCTTTGGTGAGTCCTCTCACCCCCTGTATCTCTGGCCTAGAGGTACACCCCAGTTCTTGTATGCATAAATAAATTTTTTTTTTTTTAACATGTAGCTTTAGGATTCAGTGAAAAGAGAATCTCATATTTTAGGAGTGTGATACAAAGGAGCCTTCTGTTTTGTGTTATGGTCTATATTTTGATCTGGGGGTTTCACAGTGTCCACTTAAAACCCACTAGGCACATTTTAGGATTTGTGTGCTTTACTACAGGTGAGCTATCCCTTAAAAAAAAAAAAAGCCTCCTTTCATGTACATAGTGTAGGATATCCATTTAAAATAGTATATTGCTCTGATTTTGAAAGTACCGTTTAGAATGTTGGAGAAATAAAGGATTATACAAAGAAAGCAAAATCTCATTACCCTACTAACTATTAATACTGTTAGTGGTTGGTATTTTTTATTTCTATCTTTTTCTATATCCATTTTTAACATAAATTCTACAACTTTTAATTTTTGCCCCATTATAGTTCCTCTAATGTTAGCATATCATAGTTGAGATTATCTTTTTAAAGCTATGTACTATAAGACATGCTTTAGCCTCAATGGCAAGTAAATTAAAGGTTTAAAAGGCATTTTATACAAGCGCTGGGCTATACATGGCCCAACAACATTGGTTTTATACACATGCTTAGTATTAGTAGTGCTTTTAAGCACTCAGTGTGTCAGTGCCTAGGGATAGGAGATAATAAGCCTTTATTCAGAGGCGTTAGGGCAGATTTCAGAACCTCTGAAAAGGGGTCAGGAGGCCTCTCTACACTTCACAGCTTGAGGAAGTAGGCAAAATGAAGATTAAAAATAAAGCCTCTCAATCTTTTATTTGCATGGGGGAGAAAAGCTATCTCATGTGACTGTAATTGTACTTGGTTTAGTAAATTCACTTGTATGAGAGTATTTCTGTTGAATCTTGATTGATCCACAACAATATTTCCTTGTGTGTTTGTTCCAGACCCCTGTAAAAGAACCCAACAGTGAAAATGTAGATATCAGCAGTGGAGGAGGCGTGACAGGCTGGAAGAGCAAGTGTTGCTGAGCATTCTCCCGTTCCATCAGTTGCCATCCACCACCCCGTTTTCTCTTCTTGCTGCAAAATAAACCACTCTGTCCATTTTTAACTCTAAAAAGATATTTTTGTTCTCATCTTAACTCTCCAATTCATCTTATTTGTTCTTTCATCTGTGACTGCTTGCCGACTTTATAATTTCCTTCAAACAAAAAAATGTAAAGAAAAATCATGTCTGTGACTTCATTTTTAAATGTACTTGCTCAGCTCACCACTGCATTTCAGTTGTATTATAGTCCAGTTCTTATCAACATTAAAATCTATAGCAATCATTTCAACTCTATTCTGCAAATTGTATAAGAATAAAAGTTAGAATTAACAATTTTATTTTGTACAACAGTGAAATTTTCTGTCATGGATAATGTGCTTGAGTCCCTATAACCTATAGACATGTGATAGCAAAAGAAACAAAAGCCAGGAAAACACTCATTTCGCCTTGAATATGTAAATTGGGTTAATTTTGTCCTGTGCCTTATGTGGAAAGGAACTTCTTTTGGTTTTTCCTTTATTTGTTTTGGTGAAAGCATGTTCAGGAGACATATCATCCAAACATAAACCATTAAAATGTTCGTGGTTTGCTTGGCTGTAATTTTCAAAGTAGTTAATTGAGGGCAAAGGGCAATGCAGAAATGATAGCTTGGTTTGCTGATCCTCGTTTTGAGTGGCCTTGATATCTAAAACTGTTCCTGCCACCCTTCTCCTTGGCCACTGTTTCCTCATGTCTTGTCTTCCTCTTCCTGCATGCTGCTTTATTTGCTTTTCCTTCCCCCACTATCCAGTGGTATGAGTTATTTAAAGGGGGCAAACTACTAATAAGGTTTGTCAAATTTAACATAAAGCACCTACTTAATTGCTTAAGTAAATGGAAAGATAGATTCTAACTGCTTATGATCGAATGTCAGTTAATCGTGTTTTCCCTTCATTTCCTCTTTCCCTGAAAACTCCTGTTCCAGATTACTTCATTTGCTGTTTGATGTCCTATTCCTCCTCTTTCTCTCTGTTCTCTTGCTGTCTATACATTGAGTTTATGAAATGGAAGAGTTAATTGCATGCACTGTGTTTGGAGGGTGTTGTGGTTTTTCTTTCTAATTTAGGTGTGTAGCCTATTCACGCTCCTAGAATAAATATCTTAACCTAAATTTGAGTAGTCTCCATTTTGGCAACTCCTCTTAGCAGTTTGGTAGCCCAGTAAAGGCGATGTTACAAAACACAGGAAGGAGGAGTAAAATTTATTGACATGTTTGCCAAATGTCTTGAGATTTGGCCTTTGAAAATCACTTTTTCAGTGTTAAGTTGTCCTTACCTTAAGGTTTAGAAGTATTTTAGAACCTTAATAAGTTTAAGTCCTATCTTCACATCCTTTTGGAAAACATATTGCCATGGATTTGGATCAAGGACAAAAAAGGCTTTTCATATAAAGATAAAATCTCTAGCTTACCTCTGACCTTGTCTCTTTTTTTCTTCTTTCCACCTCATTTTGCTAGTTTTGCTTCATTGCTTATCATTAGAATAGGGTAAGTTAAGTTTGCTATGCTGCTAGCATCCTAAGATGATACCTTTGTTGAAATAATTGTGAATAGCATGATTCATTTCTAGCAGAGGCTGAGTTTAGGACAGCAGCTTCCATTGAAAAGTGTGGCTGTGTCGTGGCTAGCATTCTAATGCCTCTCTGCTCACAAACAACACAGGGATGTATCTGTATGAGCATCCATACATTTTTCAGATAGTGCCCTAAAAACAATTTTTTATGCCTCACTGGTGGTTATTAGGTTTTCCCCTCACTTGACTTTATCATTGTTTACTCGTAAAAGCAGCATTGCCAAATAATGCCTAATTTTCCACTAAAAATAATAATAAAATGTTAAGCTTCTTGAAGTTTTAGGTTAAACCTGTTGTTAGATTAATTTTAACGTTATTGTTGCTTCCCTTTATCTGGATTGTGGCAGTAGCTTCTTTTTAACCCTCTTTAATCTTTACTCGATTCAGTGACTTAAGGTCTGAGAGCTAAACACTGGGATTTTTGGGTAACCGACTGACAGTTTTGTTTGCAATATTATATTTGGCATTGTACATAGAAAGGATATGGCTACCTTTTGTTAAATCTGCACTTTCTAAATATCAAAAAAAGGGAAATGGAGTATAAATCAATTTTTGTATAACCTGTTTGAAACATGGGTTTTATTTGCTTAATATTAGGGCTTTGCCCCTTTTTCTGTAAGTCTCTTGGGATCCTGTGTAGACGCTGTTCTCATTAAACACCAGTTAAGTCCATACTCTGGTACTAGCTACAAATTCGGTTTCATATTCTACTTAACAATTTAAATAAACTGAAATATTTCTAGATGGTCTACTTCTGTTCATATAAAAACAAAACTTGATTTCCAACTGTGTGGCTTGGTTTTCATTTATTTATGGACATGAAAACTTCTGAAAATAATGCAAAATTGCAAACAATATCAAGAGTGGCATAAGTGGGAGGAAAGTAATTTTCTCAGTCGAGGGAAAACTGCGAAGACCATTTGAAGAACTGTGTTTGGTAAGAAACTACAGAAATCAAATACCCTTAATACACTAAAACACAATCATTCTGTGAGGAGACTGCACTGTCTAGTCACTGCCCCCAGCCAGCAGCACTGCCATGTGCCTTGGGCCGGCTGCAGCTGAAGGATGCTTTCCCGGCACCTCGAGTGCACCGTGGAGGAGTCTTGTAGCCAGTGTCTGTCCTCTGACCTGAGAACTGTGTCTCCTTTTGTTTTTTGTGGTTTTGGTAAACCATAGGTGACAGCTTTGTTTTATATGTAGTATTGTTTAAAGAAATGTTTTATCCTGTATTAAGGCTTTTATTAGTCAATAAAGATAAATATTTGTTGACAAGATGACCTGGAAGGGTGCTATATAGAAGTTTGATCACATTACAGTGTGTATAACAAGCTGGGATTTTTTTTTTTTTCTTTGTCTAGGTTTGGGCCTGTGTTTCTGACTGGGGTTAATATAGGTTTCAGCTTTTACATTTAGAAAGCAAAAGCAATTAGCACCTAGAGATGTATAAGAACCAAGTGGTTGTGATCCAGAATTTGTGTTCTATTAGAGAAGTGTAATTGGTGCGAATAGGGGTGGCTTTATGAGGAGAAGAGACATCAATTGCTTCTTAAATACATAGATATTAGCTGGGGCCAAGTGGGTGGTATCTTAAGAAGGGTCCACAGGCAAATTACAATCAAGCTTTTCAGTTATAGGAAAAACCAGAAGTCCACTGGGCAGTGCAGGAGACAGTGATGGGCCCCCAGGCATGATGAGTGCAGTGTATGAAGAAAGCCAGAATGATGGGCTGGAAGAGGAGAACGGGTTCTAGAGATCTGATAGTGTTGCACTGGTCTGAAAACAATATGATGGCAGAGGGGAACTGGACTTGGGGTTCAGGCGAGTATGTTAATAAGGTCTTGCTTACTGAGTGTCAGGTTATCAATCTGGTGAAGTATTACCCATGTTACAGAAACTAGTTGTCTTAGATTGAGAATCTACTCAAAAGCTGCACAGCAAGTTTGTGCCAGAGTTGGATTTTGAAATCCAGCCTGACATCAACATCCATTCTATTTTGACTTCATCCTATCAGTTGCTCAGGGTAACATCCTAGGTTTTTGCTTTAAACCTCACGTACCCCTCACCACCTTGCTAATTTTTTTCAAACCGTCTTTTGGCTAGAAGAAATAAGGCAGTTATTTAGTTAGCACTAACTTGCTGTGCAGCTTTTGACATTATGAGGCTATACTTCTCACAATTGACTATGAGGTTATACTTTGGGGGGAACATCTGTTACTTAGTATCTACAACAGTGAGAAATAGTGAAATAACCCAAAATACAGGGGAGAGGAAGGAAGGCGGTTGGATATTTATGCCAAATACCAGGGCAGAGTTGAGATAGTTGACAAGTATCCATGGTACGATTTAACTTGATAGAAGCTCAGTCACTCTTGAGGTTAAGATGATGGGTCCACATGACAGATTTGCTGAAGCACAGAGTTTAGGTCAGAGATATTCCAACACTGAGAAAATGGTAGTGTAATTTATAGCATCTGCTTAGATCTACTTTTGCTAAGGGAAAAAATCTCACACAACCCAGAAATTTCTACTAAGGGTCATTAAACTGCAAGGTGAAAGGGTCCCCAGTTGAAGTCATGGAATGTATAAAGTTGCTTGTATGCATCATTTTTCTTTGGAGTTACAGTAAGATACAAGCACTGTAAGTCGATGGTGACATTTCTACAGGAAGCTTTGGGAGGTCGACGAGGATTTAGGGTGACTTGCAGAATTTAGTGCTTCGTAAAGGAAAGGTAGTTAACATTTGAATCTAAAATGGTGTCAATTGATATTTTTACTGGAGGGAGTGTAGTCAATCCAAGGATAAATGTAGAGTTTTAGTGTAAATGAAAAGGTCCATTTGCTTTAGACATCAGGTGTGCAGGTTGAAGAGTTATAGACTGAAAATGGTAGGACTCTGGTGAGGCCCTCGGCACCTCTTCTGCAGTGCCTGACCTGACCCGCTGTTAGAGCTGCTCAGGCTTCCCATTTCCCACCACAGTCAGATGTGGGAATGAAACTACCCATGTGGTGAATATGACAAATGAGAGGCGCTTCCTGTTAGCCCACGCCTGGCCCACAGCTGAGACCACCCCGGCACCAGTGCTCGTCAGTCCCTCAGCTTAACCGACAGGCTAAACTTTTCCTCTTAACAGGCCAGGTAATTATTACCTAGGAAATAGATTTTTGAAGTGCACTTAAGAAGCCTGTGATGGTGCACACTTAGTTTAAACTCCAGGTGACTTGTGGGAGTTACATTAATATCCTTCTCTGTGCCTTCTTTTCTAACCCACCAGCTTTGAGACCTCGCCTGCTGATGACTCTTCCCTGCTGTCACCCAGTGCCGTTCTGTTTTCTGACATCATCTGTCTCCACATTCCCACTCTGTGCTTAATACTTGCACCTCCTGGTGTTTATCTCGCTCACCCACTCTTCATCCATCTTGCATAGATCTGCAGGTGAATCCAGTACTCCGCTTCTGCTCAGGAGTCTCCAGTCGCCTTTTGTCCTCAGTGAGGACCTGCCATGGTTCCGTTTTTCCCCACCCCGTTGCGGGGAAGCAGGTGAGAGGCCCTAATGCTGCAGTGAAGTACCCTTCGCCTGCCTGCGGCGTGTTGGTGCAGGCTGAACTCACCAAACGGTGGTGCGGTCCACTCAGCTGGCCAGAGGCCTCCCAGCGGTCAGGCAGCACCATCATGCCCCAGCCATGCCTTTGCTTTCCTAAGTCCCCTCCGTGTCAGTTTTGGTTCTTAGCTACAAACAGTAAAATCCAAATTTTGAGCAGTGGAGGATATTTATTTCTTTAAAGGATATCAAACTAGCAGTAGCATCATTGTTTATCTTCCACAAATCCCTCCATGAAAAGAGCAAGTAGGATAGAAAAACCCATGAGCAACAGGTTTAGCAAAACTGGTTAACCTCTGTTTTGTCTCTGGCAAAACAGCATGCTGAGAGACTGAGTTGTCTTTGCCAGTAATTTGTGTATCACAAATTCACTATGGGAATTATAGTAACAGGCCAACAAAGACCATTACTGCAAACCAGCAATAGGTTAATTGCAGTAGTATTTCAGCATTTGGGCGATGCATTCAAATGTAGGTGAGGTACCTTCTGTGAGCTGCCTTTGGCAGTCAGTCCTTTCGGTCAAACCTGGGTTCCTGCTGCTAGCTTTGGCCCTTTGCTGCTGGGGCCTGTAGCTGGGACACAGCACAGATGCTGGTGGACTAGGGCTGTTCTGAAGGGTAAAACTCCAGGGACCATCACTTGTCTTAAACAACCACCAGCTCCAGAGAGTAGCCTGAGGCAGAAACAGGCTGTCTCCCTGGAAGACTGCATGGTTTACCATCACCGCTGAGCAAGCTTTGCTGGCCACCGCAGAAGCAGATGTCTCGCAGGGCCTTCAGAGAGCTGTTTGGATCAGCAAACAGTAGCTTCGCCCACACTGAACACACTTGGGTTGCCATTCAGACCTCCTGGGTTTTAAAGTTTCAAAGGTTCATCACGTGATGACCGTAGACATAAATCCAGACGTCTTCATCAGGACTAGGAGTTGAGGTGAGAGGAGGCTAGACGTATTCCTAGAGATGACGTTGGTCTCCCACTACCTCATCCCCTTGATCACCATCTCTGCCAGGCCCCGGACTCTTAAGAAACCTCAGAGGTCACATCCCGCAAAAACCTTGCACAACTTCTGTACTTCTAGAATATGATCTGGGTTTCGCTGTTGAATGATAAGCCCTACATGCCAGGTTTCCACAAAGGCCTGATCCCCAATTTCAACAAACCCAAAACTCAGAACAGCTTCAAACTACTGACAACTTTGTCAAAAACAATCTTCCAAAACTTAGATTGAAGTCCTAACAAGCCTGAATACAGCACAGCTCCAAACCTAAGCAGGTGGGGCCGCTCTGCTTTCAGAAGCAGGAGCTGTAACAGCAACAGGCTGTCCAGTGACTACACAGAAAATCCAAAATAACTGCCAGGCACTTGAAGGCTCTGGGAGTCAATTGGAAGGTGGTGGCTACACTTCAGAACCCTCCTGATGGCCTGTGCACGTGGGATTCACTCAGCTCAATGAAAGCCAGCAGCGTGGGCCGTGGGGGGGGGGGGGAGGCCTTCCTGCTGAGAGAAACCAGGGTTTCTTGAAGAAATGGCAGGTTCCACGTTTGGGGTGGAACTTGAGCCAGAATTATCCTGGCACATCAGAGAAATTATCAAAATCTAATAAATTAAAAGACGCTCTATTTTCATTGGGTTTGGACCCACTTGAAGGGGCCACTGAGGGCAGGTGAGTGTGTGGCCGTGGGTCCTCTGGTGCCCAGGGACATTCCAGAGATTACCTCCTGAACAGAAAAACAAAACTGGACTTGGCGACTCCTGAAACCCGTGCGGGCCCGGATGCACATACAAGAGCTAGATACAGGTCAGCAGTTGCAAACAAACAACTTCGCTTACTACTCGCCTAACAGAAAAATGTTTACCTCCCCCTCTCCAACCGATAAAACATGCCTAGCCTGTTGGGGTGTGACTCCCCAGACCCCAATCTGCATCTGTGAACCTCGCCCAGGAGTTGCAATAAAGGCCGCTCCTTATTATCCTAAACTCTCCTTTCAACCTTTCTTTCCCCCTGCGTGGGTTCTTACACTGAGACAGCTGAACACATCAAATATGGTTAAATCCACACGATCCTAGTGCCACACACCCAAACACATCTCTCCTCAGCCAATGTTTGCGCATGCCCGAAACCTCACTCTCCCTTCCCTGTTCTCTAACTGGCAAATTAAAAAATCAGGAATGTATCTATCAGG